TCAGGGGGCTAGGATAGATGCAAGGGGCTGGGGCCTAAGCTCCCAACTTAACATCTTGCTTCCCCTGCCCCATAAAACCCCAGTAATAGCCAGCAAGGAAAAATGATTTTTGAATAACCTAACAGTCTTTTGTTTTTATATATAATTTTAAAATTTATTTTTATTTTTTATTTATTTTATTTTTTATTTATTTTATCTCATGTGTTTACCTGTATGATGTCTGTGTGAGGGTGTTGGATCCCCTGGAACTGGAGTGACAGACAGCTGTGAGCTGCCGTGTGGGTGCTGGGAATTGAACCTGGGTCCTCTGGAAGAGCAGTCAGTGATCTTAATCACTGAGCCATCTCTCTAACCGCTTTGGGTCACCTAACATTCTTTAACTAGTCACCCCCTAGCCATGGCCAACTTTGGCCCAAAAAGGAATCTTTCTGTCATCCTCCTCCTTGCGTTCCATCGCAACCAAAAGGCTCCGGTTATTTTATTGTATGTATATGGGGTTCCGCATGTGTCTGCACCATGGATGTGCCTTGTGCCCTGGAAGGTCAGAAAAGGATGTCAGATCTCCCAGAAGAGGGTGTTGTGATCTACCATGTGAGTGCTGAGAATCGAACCTGTGTCCTCTGGAAAAGCAGTTTGTCCTCTTAATTGCTAAGCTGTTTCTCGGGCCCCCAGCTTCTAATTCTTACGAAATTCCTCTCTGCAGGTTTCCCTCCAAATAAGCTAATTGCCCCCCTGTCATTCTTCTCTTCTCGTGGCTCTCTTGAGCTGCAGAACATAAAAACACGGCTTTCATGCTCAGGTCTGGGGTCCGGATGGGATAGGAGGAAGACTCAGGTCTGTGAACACCAGTTACTCTCACCTCTTGACTGACTCACCTCTTAGAACTGAGAGAAAGTAACAACAGTTTCTGTGTGAGCAGAGTCTGCTTCCTTCTTCCTCCAAGCTTGCCCAGTTCCCTCACTGAGTCTGAGGGGACAGTAAGGCCATTTTCCTGGTTTTTATAGCTCCCTCCATCAACCCACCTAGTAGAGTCCAGGGCTCCCCAGCTCCAGGTGAGCAGCAGCTCAGGACAGTAGCATTAACAGGAAGGCAGCGACAAGAAAAGAGGGCCTCAAGCCCCGGAGCCTCTTTTCTAAGGGCAGTAATCCATTCACAGCCCTAAGCCCTCAGCTGCTGGTCCTTGTCGATTTGGGGGTAGAGGGAGACAGGACTGAATCCACCGCTTTGTACATACTAAACGTGTGACACCCCTGAGCTCTGCCGCTAGCCCCAACTATCCTCTCTTATTTTCCTTCCCTCCTTCCCTCCCTCCCTCCCTCCCTCCCTCCCTCCCTCCCTCCCTCCCTCCCTCCCTCCCTCCCTCTCTCCCCCTCCTCCTCCCCCCCTCTTTCTCCCTTCCTTCTAATCTACAGTGTTGGCATCAAACCCAAGGCCTCATCCATGCGTACCACGCAGGAGCTCTACCATGAGCTGAGCCCTCAAACCTTAAGCAAAGGACGCTATCTCCTCAGTCCACCATAGTGAGGGTTAAGTTTGGAGTTCTGGGGGGCCACAGCTGGGCTATAACGATGTCCACATGGAGAGTTGTCTTCTCACCCCGCCCACAGTGAAACTCTCCTGCTTCTGAATGTTTCCCTGAGAATTCCATTTGAACACGGCTTAATCATAACTTTAGTTTTCAGGATTAAACAGAGGGACTTGGCTGGGTTGAATAGCATCTCTTTCGAAGTTCAAGTCCATTAGAAATTTAAAATATGACCTTGTTTGGAAATAGAATCTTTGCAATTTGTTCTGATGAAGTCATAGTAGAGGACTCCAAGACCAGCGTGACTTCATGAGACAGAAGGAAAACTGAGACATGTAGACACACACACACACACACACACACACACACACACACACACACACACGAAGGAGGCCTTGTGACTGAGGTGTCAATTGGAGGGATGGCTCTACAATCCTGGGCATTGCGACCCTGCCAGGAGCAAACAAGTAAAGATTCTCCACAGAGCCGTCAGAGGACCAGCACGCCTGGCCAGCTACTCAACTTCAGTGTTCCAACCTCTAGAATGGCGACATAATATTTCTGTGGTCTGAAGCCCCCAGTTTGGAGTGGTTGTTCTGCCGGCTATGAGAAACTAATAGTGGGACTCCTGGCAGGCAAGAAAATGAAACAAACCCTAGTTTCCTAGCTGGCATGATGATTCTGAGGAGAGTACTTGCCTCACATGTGTGGAGCCCAAACGAATTCTCAGCGCCACTTAATCTGGGTGTGGTGGCCCACACGTAGAGTCCCAATACAGAAGAATACAGAAAACATAGGCAGGAAGATCCTGCCCCAACCCGCATGGCTTAGGGATTACCCTAACTGGGGCAACAGGAAACAAAGAAATGATAACCACATGTACACAAGAACTGGAATTAAGTTGGCCATGGACTCCGGTGGAGACTCATCAACAGTGGTCCAGAAACCAAGTACAGGAGGCGGGTTTGTTCTGCACTGTTGAATGAAGAGGCATGCTTAGCCAATTTTGGTGCAGGGTGGTCTCTGTAGGGGAGCAGTTCTAGGGTTGGAGCATTCTGGAGGAAAAAGTTACCACCCATGTTTTCTACTGCAAGCATCCGTACATGGACCAGGGGAAGGCTTTGACATTCTGAGGCATTTGGGGTTCTTGACATGGCCATGTGAATGTCAAATACACATCCACTCAGGACTTCATCTGCTTCCCAAGGATCTGAAGTTGACAGTCAATCTCAGTTACCTACAGAGTTTGAAGCTCACTTAGGTTATATGAAACCCATCTCAACTCCCTACATACGTAGACATAGGCTGCTGTTTGTTCCTGGATGCCCAGAATCAAAATGACCACACAGAAACTATATTATTTGCAGTATTGTTTGGCCAATAGATTAATCATATTTCTGGCTAACTCATATCTTAAAGTAACCCATTTTTATTAGTCTGTGTATGCCACATGACTGTGGCTTACTGGTAAGGTTCTGGTGCATCTGTCTCCTGCAGGAGACTGTGTGGCTTCTTTTTGACTCCGCCTACTCCATATATTTCTTTCAGCCTGGCTTACTCTGTTAAGTCATTGGCCTAAAGCAGCTTCTTTATTAACTAATGGCAATAAAACATATTCACAGCATACATCACCTCCCACATCACATACATGTACAGCAAAACAGAACAACCCCCCTATATTCCAAAACAATGCAAAAATTATCTGCACAACTTCCTTCATCCTGAATGTGCCCATGGCATTTGCCTTTTATTTTATTCATATCTCTTTTTCTCGCCATGTTGCCTGGGCTATCAGGTCTCCAGGCTTGAGTGATGGCCTCAACCTCTTGATGTCTAGGACTACAAACATACACCATGCAGGGTAATCTGTTATTTTATATATTTTATTTTTATTTTTAATAGAGTAACCTTTTTTTTTTTTTTCGAGGCAGGGTTTCTCTGTGTAACAATCCCTGACTGTCCTGGAACTTGCTTTGTAGACAAGGCTGGCCTCAAACTCACTGGTCTGCCTCTGTCTCCCTAGTGCTGGGGCTAAAGGCATGCACCACCACTGCCTGGTGAAAAACATTCTTTTCAATAATTACCAATTTATTAAATTTTAATTTCATTATGTGTGTATCTACAGATGCACTGAGGTGTGTAATTCATGTCATAGTGTGTATATGGAGGTCAAAGGGCATCTTTCAAGAGTCAGCTCTCTCTCCTTCCAATTCAGGGGGTCAGGATGCAAGCATCTTTTACCTGCTGAACCATTCCACTGTCCCTGTTTTTATTTTTATGGGACCTGACAAGGACTAGGCATGGTGACTCATACCTATAAAATTAGCACTTGGGAGGCTGAGGCTGGAGGATCCCTGTCTCCAAGATCCACAAGATCAAGTATAGCATTAATGGATGAGGACTTATGATGGTGGGAAGAGGAAATATTTGTGTAACAATGACCCCAGCTAGCACATAAAGGGTCCTTATTAGGTTACCAGGAAATTTATGTATATGTAACTGAAGAAACATGACAATAAGAAACAGTTATTGGAAGCATCTTATATGGAAAATGCCATCCTAAGTGTTTACTGCATAATACAACAGTATAGACACAATCCAAAACTAGAGGTACTTAAGTCACCGCCATTTTGCTTGCTTACAGTTCTATGAACCAGGGACAGGTTCACTAGATGGCTCTCCTGTGTACATCAGGTGGCAAGGTTCACAGCTGCACTCAGCTAAAGGCTGACTTGGCCTGGGTTCACCAAAGAGGCAGCAAGCATGGTATTGGCCTTCTAGGTGACTATCTTGGGCTTCCTCACCGCATGGTTTTACACCATAGCCGAACTTCTCATATGATAGTGGTCTTTCAAGAAGGTCAAAATTAAAAACTTAACAGTAGTTAGCACACAGCACAACTCTGCCAAACTCTACGGGTGTGTTTGTACTAGCTTCATAGTGTAGCTGCAAGGGATTTCTAGAACTATGACAATACAGCAAAACACAAACATGCTACCTTATAGTTGTAGGCCAATATTTCACATGATATGACAACCAGAATCCCAGGCCACACAGGAGGTGGTCACCTCCCTAACAAAGGGTCAGGATATTGTTCTGCTTCTTCTTTGTAATTTGGAGGATGACTGAAAAGAGATTCAGCCTACGTGACAGAGCTGGCACACAGAGCAGGAAGACGTGACAGAGCGAGCATAGGTAGATGTGGATGTGACCACAGCCATACACCTGGTTACCTAGGAAACAGAATGCTAATGAATTTTCCCCTCAGTTTATGTTTTGGTATATAAGCTGATTGGAGAATAAATGGAGGAATTTTCAGGATGTGAACTCAGGATTTCAGGAGGGATCACTGAAAATCTCCCTCCCAATAAAGCCTTGTGTGTTGTGTCTTTAATCTGATGCCTCCCCTCTGGTACAGAGAAATAATTTAGGGTCCAGGCTGGCACCATACCTCAACATAATGGCTCCCTGAAATGTGGGACTGATTGACGAACCCCCAAAATACAGAAGAAGTGACCAGACGTACAGAGGAGAATGAGAGGAGCCCGTGAGAGAAATTTGCACCACAGATGGGTACGTAAGTATGAGCGCTCAGAAATAGAGAATAGAATTTAAAGAAGTGTAAAGAAGTGGGGAATTTAAATCGGGAGTAAAAAAATTGTAAATAGTTGTATATATGGGATAAGAAAAGAGTATTCAGCTATATATA